ACCTATCGATCTCGCACGCGAACGCCCAATCACTAGACCGCTGGTCTGGCATCCAGCGGTGTTAATATCAAACTTCCACTAATCTACGAAATCAAGCGACACATCCACCATTGTCTTCAGTGAGTTGCTGTCTCACAATAGACCCAGTTGAACTCCATTGGCGAAGGTTTCCCAATAGAACTCCAGGAAGTCCCACTTGAAGCTAGTCACTGATAAGCACATGAAGATTATTATCAGAGAGGGGGGTTTGTGGAGATTGTAGTAACTTTTAGTAGTTGGATTCATGAGTCGATTAAAGGTAGACCACCAATTTTACTTATAAACATTAAATTAGTGGATGATAATCAATAAGAGGCGGTTTGCATATTGGAAATAAATTATATGGGTAACACTGTATAATTAAATTTTTCTAATTATATACATTATTCTATCAGTTAATGTGTTATTATGTTTTTTTTTAACCACATAAACAATGACTATTACACACTGTGAATAGTACAATTAATCATAATAATATCATAATTCAAACATTGAAGTGATGAAGAGTCAGAAACATTGTAGAGAGTTATATTATGCTGCCAAAGTTGACTTTACTTACTAACCAATTTTAATATTTAGGTGAATAATGACAAATAGTTATGAGTTAGTGAAGTAATATGGTCTATATTTCTCTCCATCAAGAAATGCCCACCTAGCTGTTAACCAATTAATCCTAAATTTCTAATATTCACTACCTTTTAGTAGCCGTTGGTTGGAAAGTTACTGCACATTCGCCTTAATTTTACGTTTTATAAGCACAATGTTGTTATGTAACTGACATTAGGCTACTGAAAGTCATAATATTTTAAACAGTAAAAATTTGTAATGACGTTAAAAAATATTACTGAGCTAATTATGAAAGTAGAAGGTTTCATTTGTTAGTAATTGAAATTATTAAACAGTCTCCGTGAATGAGAAAGTAACTACATAGCCTCACATAGGTTTTAAAGTCTAATAGACTAGTATTGATTTTCTGAAAATCTCAGAAAGCTAATATCTCTCGAGATTAAATATCTACTAAGTGTCAATGTGTTCATTTGAAAAGTCAACTTTTAGTGACAGTTGATTTATGTGTTGCTTGCAAAACACTAGATCTTTAAATATAAAAAGTTTCTATTGTTTTTCAAAGTAAATCTTATTGAAATATAGTTAATAAATGATTAACACAATACTTCGGTAAGACCATAGTTATATTTATCAACTTATTTTTACTGAAACAATATGGGTTTCCTTGATGATATTTAGTACCAAAGTAAGATGTGACTCATGATTGATCTTTTATTAACCAACATATAGTGGATTATTTATTTACTGTGTTATAAGTTATTACATTGAACTATTTTGTTTGAGTGTTCAGAATCGTAATCATATTATCAAGATTTCTTATGTAATGAATATATTTAATGCACTTCACTACTATCCTTAAGTAAAAGTGTATGACTTGGATAATCATTAGTGATTTAACTAAATATCTACATGAATTAAATTTGTTTCGTTCACTAAATGATCATACGGTGGTTTATACTGTGTTGACAGGTATAATCGGCATGTAGCACCGATTGCAAGTGGGATGCACGCTAGCAGAAGACTGGGAAGATTCAATTGAACAGAAAGTAATTGTAATAACAACGGAATTCAAAAAAAAATCATGAAGCATATAGAAGACAACTGATGGATGATGTACAAATTTTGTAATTGATGTATGGTTTTCATATTTTGCAATTAACAATAAATTGGTCTTCCCCACTTGATGACCCCACATTCACTACAATATGACTAAATAGAACATTCATTTATTTGAATTACTTCACAATATTCATAAATTGTATTAAATAATTTTAAACATTCAATTTAAGTAAATATGTTACTGTACTTGTTTAGGGACATAACAAGAATTTAGAACAGTTGAGTCATGAATTGTAAGTGTATATGACTGTAAACTTGTATAATGTTTTCATTTCAAAGTATTATACACGAATGTCTATTGTATTTGTGTTAAGTTCTAAAACACATCTCAACTTCATAAAGTCCTGAAAAGTTCATAGAATGTATGAATTTCATAGATAAAAAAAAGATATTGACAGTTTATTATGTAACTTGTCGCATAATTGTAAACATAACTTTAAACAAAATAAAACTTGTATATTATTGAATGATGAGATTAGTTTATATGACTATAGTATACAATGAAATATAGTCAATCAACCTTGATTTCATCTATGAAAAACAGAATAAACTTACTGTAAAGGTGCAATCACATAAATTTATCTTATTAGGCATACTAACGAAGGATTGTTATGGTTAACATTGTGAAATCTATAACTGTTCATATATATATATGTATAAACAGTAGTCTATTTTTCCGTTTGTTTGTTATTCACAACACCTATTCACAATAATCTAATGAACTGATTACAATCGAACAAAAATAACAAAATTCATAATCACTTAAGCTTTCCTATTTTGTTTACAAAACTAACTGAATACTTGATTCTGGTTAGAGACAAAAAAATATGTATTATTTTTTTGAAATTTTTTTTTCTATGGGGTTTCATTTTTACATTTTCAGCAATTAACATCATTCAAGTATAAAACATAAGATTGATCAATCTAACATAGAAAGTATAATGTCCATGAAAACTTGTTTAACCAGTAAAACTGGTTAAATTAATAATGATAATGACATTAGAGTATTGTGAATGGAGAATGTATAGAATTTTAGTAAATTCTTTATAATCTGGGCTACTTATTCCTGTCATCGATATATTTCAACAAGTTATCTAATTTTTTTTCTTCTGATACATCATTATATCTATTCAGGTGTGTTTCTGAAAAGTGTACAACCCTTCGTTGTACAGGTTACAAAGGGTTCAATCAAAGATGTCGTGGTTACTGGCAATATGCAGCAAAAAGAATGTACATTATTTAGGTGCAGATTGACTGAACTGTTAACTTTTAACTGGCGACCACTCAACATTTATCGTCAGTATCGACCAAGAAGTAAGAAACAGAAATTTGTTGGAATACATTTTTCTGAGAATTCTATATTCTACCAAAAATATAATATTGAATAAATGTAATAATAATATATATTCGAAAAATACTAAATTTGTTCTGTTTTGATCACGTTAGATATGACTGTTAGCCTTGCAAAGTTTTATTATTATTATGAATGCTTTTGTTTTCATGCTCTATTATTTTCGTTATTCTCAAACCATGTTATTGTTCAACTAATTAGGGATTGAATTATTAAATTCATAAGATAATCAATGGGATTACAAAGCTTTACGAAAACAGCAGGTTCTGAGAAGGCACAATGAAAATAATAATAATGACGATGATAAAGGACCATATCTTAAATCAGATATGGATTTCGGTGTTGAAAATATAATAGGATCTTCATAATTAAAATCCACAACTCAATGAATGCACTTACGCTGCCTAAATTGTCAATCGAACCTAAGAGTTTGTTTCATAAGACCAAAGTAGATACATTTAACTTCATAAACGTTATTTCTTTGTTTTATAAATCACCTTATTCTCTGAGCCGGGTAAATTAATCTTGAAGTGTTCGCTAAGTTTTGGTTTTGATAATGTTGTTGTCTAGATAGATAATGATAGCTTCGTGGTTAAACTACCCAATTAAGATAAGATGTTTTCAACAATGTCATCCTCCTGACTCATTAACTGTCTTTATCATCAATAATAATTTATTTATTGTTCTCACTGATTATTATACAAGTTAATTGTATATATTTTTGCTTGAAGTAAGTACGGTAAAACGCTACTTCTGTCTGTATTATCTTGTAGCTGAATATGAGAAGTAAAATATTTTATAGGTGGAATTTTTCAGCTAGTTGTCCCTGGGTGCTGATAAATAATATGGTTTGCATGTACGATTTATAAAACTACTGTTGAAAAACCGTATGTTAAATTTCCAAGTATTTTTATCCCATTATTTTTTCGAAATACTTGAACTTCTGACCACTAAAACGTTTTTCGGTTAATGAATAATTTCTTTTCAAGGTACGACAACATAATGTTTGTTGAGCAGTGCTAAATTTTTTGAAATTTCAAGACGTTATGTTTTCTGATTCCTCAATCTATATGAACAGGAAAATTTACGAAAACGCTGAAGTTATTGATGTTTATTGACATTTATTTAAAGCGTCGTTGTGATGGAAAACGGAAAAGAGAATTTGTGTCCCTGAGTGAGCATAAACAGTGGGATACATGTACATCCGGCTGACGAGTCTTGGATAGAACGTTCTTGATTCCACTACTACCCACCATCTATCTCTACTTTTGCTACTTGTGACTTAAATCAATATTGACGCAATCCACCCAAGATGTACATATGCCAATACGTGATTGATTAGTTGCAGTCCTAAACATCAATGGAAAGATTCAAGCAACCACTATAAAAAAATGAATGATTTTTCCATTCTAAATAATCTTGTAAAATAAGAAATAACCGCTCGAAAATTTCTTCTGATTCATTTATTAGTAATTTTTAGTTGAATCATTGGCAATGTATAATTTAATTCAGTTATTTAAAACAATTAGTCCCTTTTATAAATTTCGATGGAACAACACCGTTTTCTCATTGTTCTATCGAAACAAATCTTATCATCATAAAACTATGTATTGCTATTTTATGAATCTTGAGATTCGTCTTAAAATAGAAGACAGCCAAAAGACTGTAATCACTTTTCTCCCATTTAAATTATTATCAACAGTTTCTTGGACAGCACAGTCACATCTTATTTGACCTTGTATCACTGAATTTAATAAACATCATAAAAATAAAACCGTTTCCATTTAGACTGGATAAAACCAGCCATAATTCAACCAATCAAATTGATCAGTCGATATTTGTAAACAATAATATGATTGGTTGTTTTCTTAGTCAATACTTTATTCTGATTCGACTTAAAACCAATATTGACTATACTTTTGGTTTCACTTAACCAGTAACACATGAGTTTGGAATGAAACGCTAATGAATACATCAGATATTATGGATATTTCTTGGCAATAAATAACTAATATATGACGTCTAAAAGATTTTAAAAGTATACTAAGTATGAAACTTTTTAAGATTTAAAATGGATGTGGATTTATCTGAACTTGATGACTGGTTAGGAACACTTGAAGAATTACAGCTGGTAAGTTAGTGAATTTGCTTTGCGTACTGAATATAGAAAATGGTTTATAAAAATTGGATTATCATATGCAATATACTGTGAGATTTTAAATTAAATAGATAAGTTTATTTTCATTAATGAAATTATTCACAGTATTTTCTAAAATATATTTTCTCCCAAACCTATACCTTAATTAAACAGTATATAAATAGTACACTGGTGAATAAGGATTAATATGTATAACCACCAATAATATCTCATACAGTGTAATTACAAATCCGTGTATACATCACCGAATTTCTGGTATTATCTCCATATTTTTTCTACCAACTAATTAATCCATATTATGATCATTAGACTCAGTTTCTATCTATTTGTTGCATATTAGTTTATGACAGGTTCAGTTTTTATTACAATGATAATAGGTTAACTCTAAGCTTATTTAGTGCATTAATCTCATTAAAATTATCTTATATTGGAATTTATGACATATATTTACTTGGATAATTTGTCTAGCTTGAAAATGCTGATACAACTATGAAAAATCTACCTAATTTTCTTATAAAAAATATGAAAATGTGTTTGCTAAATAGTCTAACTGAAAGGAAGGTACTAAATAGATTTTGTTCGTCTTGAAAAATTTTGATGTGTCCTAATAATCAGTACCAACAATAAGCTGAATGACAGCATGATGATGCATCATCTTCCCTGCCATGATTTTCTAATGATCAGGTTATTTTAGAGTCGGACAAATTATCACTATTTGTGCAATCCTGTTGTATAAGATCAAGTACTATGTAACTGCTCTGTATTATTAGGGACCTAATCACACAGGTCTGAAAGTGACTATTTAAAGAGGGTTTTTACATTAAGATATAGCTTGTTAAGATAAACAACTTTGCTTGAGGAGTCGAGTGATATCTTGAAAAATATGTATCAAATCTAGAAACATAAATGTGTACTTAATAAGTCAGTTAATAAGTTTACCATAAAGGAACCGACTATCTTCTCTTCTCGTAGTGAGCACAGTACTATTCTGTCTGTGACTCTGAATACAATGAGGCTCATTTCTTAAATAAAATTATTTGAGTTAAAGAGTGATTCTTATCTTGCTGCCACTAGTGAATTGCTATCTACCTGATGACTTATATAACTTTACAGGTAACAAGGCACAAAACAGGAAAGTCATGGGTTAGGGTAACATATATGTTAACTTATTTTTGCTCTTCAATACCTATTGAGTCTTCTCCACTTTCTGATGAAGATCGCTTGCATAGTATCCCCGTTAAACTATCATGATAGATGTTACTTTATTACTATATTGTACAGTGAACAAAAATATTTGTAAAATACAGGTAATTTAAAACATATATGCATAAAATTTTCATTTATGATGGATATTTTTGTCATTCAGAAACAGTATTAATTAAACTGTCAGTGAACTTCTGCGATATAAGCACGCGTTTTTGTTCTTACATTTCTTATCCAGGATAAATCAGGACTGGCGATACGAGTTTGCACTAAGACTTCTAGAGATTCATCTGACAGTTTTTCACTAGTGGGCACAAGATTATTGTTTCCTGAGATATTCTGTGGTGAAGTGTTAAGATAATATTTGTCACGAATGAAGTTTAAGGGTATCTGGTTTGTCCACATTTGGGACCTATGAGTAATCTGGACTAATGACCCCACATCAGATTGAGAGCAGAACTCCAATCACTTAAATACTTCTCCAGATAATGTCATCACATATTGAAAGCAATCTTTAAACTACCTAATAAATTCTCGCAAAACATTTGTATAGTTTTACGCTGTTAATTCGTGTTCATTTCATGGTAAAAATATCTTTCACCAAAATATACGTGATAAAAAATAAAGAATAGTTGTATCATGACAGATATGTTGTATGTGATCTTAATAAAAAATCAGTGTGCTAAAATACATCAATACTTTATTATTCAAAGCTGGTCAAGACTTGAAAAATAAACAGTAAAAATTACTCAATACTAAAATATCATTTGTGCGAATTAAGTTATGTATTATAATCAATGTTTTGTTGAAGAGAACCAAAATAAGGAAAAGGAAGCGTTGGATATTTGTAAGATCGTTCAATGTTAATTGATTGTTGAAAAATAGATTCATCGTTTTGGATACATGAACTGTTGAGTCGTATCTCCATCATGTCCATTGTATATGAAAGACGAAATAAGGTAGTGTTGAATCATTATAATGGAATGAGGTTTAAAAATAAAAAGGCCACTCCTCATGTACGCTTTATCTAAGTTGTATGTATGTAGTTATCTATATGTAAACATCTGGACTAGAAAAAGGAATAAAGATAGATGAGTAGTCTTTTGTACGTTTCAAACTTTAAAGGTAACTCAGTTATCAGGTAAAATTTTGTGTAACCGACTTATAACCACACGTCAATTGATGCATAGTGGGGCTAACTTGATGCTCAAACAAGAGTAGGTGAAGCCGTGTTAAAACATGTGCACTATTGGTTAAAAATTAAGTACATTATCCAGTACGATATCAAGGACAGAGTTTCTTTTATCCTTGATTTGTACTTAGTCTTGTTATCACTATTAATTTCACTAATCATCATAATGCCATTTATTAAATCAGTATTATTTGTTGCATTATATACCAGTTACATGTAGTCTCAGGATAATCTATTCGAGAATAATATTGTTTCACCTAGATATTTCACCATTGATTTCTTGGATAATGAATTATTTTTATACTTGAGTAATTAACTAACTAATCATAATGTCGAGCACTATAGTTGTTAATAGGATACCACGTATTCTTGTTTATACTTTTACGTCAAAGGAAATATTTATTTTCCAACCGAAAATTCATTCATGTTATAGTTGGATGGTTTGGAAAATAATTCATGTGTACGATACTCTTATATAGAGTAGGAAATATTTTTTCAAAAAAGTCCCCGTAAAGTAATAGTTCACTTAAGCTTATCAAACTGAATCGGGTATTATATGAATGTTTACTTTCTTGTTAAAACTGAATACCATGGTTTGTTTAATAATGAGAAATTATTACAAACGTTCTATACAGTTTAACAAAATGTATGTATTTGAGACGTTTGTAGCAAAAAATAAAAATCTTATTTTTCTTGTTCCTACAATTCACAAATACTTCTTAGAGAATATGAATAAACGTAGTTTCAACAACATCGGTTTTGATCAGCTAGTTAGTATGACAAAACCCTTATACCTAAAGTATAACTCAAGGCTAAGTACATACAATCGACTTACCCAATGTGTTTGTTACTAACTAAATTTAGTTTAGTTGTGTTTAACAGATCATGAAAAGATTATCCATATGGTATTGTGTTTTCTTATCTTTGCTTTGAAATTTAGATCGTTCAAGTTTAGTTTCAGTAATAAAATTTAAACAAAATTAATATCGTTTTTAAGCTTGTAATTTCCCACCCCTCTCTGGAAAGATGTCTCGCAAGTAGTTAAGGATGAAATTGCGTTTGAAATATTTAAGATTCCCTAACAATCGATTTTGTGTAGAACTGAGCAAACAATCATTTATTTTCCCTTATTTCAATTTATTTTATTAATATTCAATCTATTGTACAACATTGTTGGGAAGTTTAACTGCTAACCTATGTACATCTGTATAGAGTTCTATGTTATTTTGTCTTGATATATAGGGAATATTGCGTGAGCATGAATCGGTGAATCCTTTGCCAAAAAATAAGGCTTTATTGATAGAGTAATACATTTATTCATCAAGTAATTAACACTGATCTTATTTTAAACAATTGTGTTACTTTTTGTTTGGTAAAAATAACATCAATAGAAGCATATCATCTCAGCAGAAAATTCTGTAAACCATTCTCAAAGAACATAATTTCCATATTCATATGTAACGAATACAGTCTACTTCAATTTTAGTTAGGTAGTTTTAACAGTTTTAAGTGAACAGCATATCAATAACATATAGGGAATATTTTGCAGAAGTGTATTTCAAAAGTGACAATATTGTTTGAATAATCAAATAGGTTTTTTCTTCGTAACTAAGTTAATGATTCATCATAATGCAGTAATCAAATGGAGTCGTTTTTAGACTGGAAGAATGGCAGAACACAATACATCTGTGAGATGGTGCAGAAGATTTGTAGCTCAGCTGGATGATTTTGATGGAGTTATGTTCTCTGTGCTGGATGGTTTGGTCGTGAAGCTTCTACTTGAAGTTTGTGCTGATGGTGTCGTTCAGAAAAACGATTAATGCTCCATGACCAAACCATCCAGCTCAGAGGACAAAACTCCACAAAAACAATACATCTGTTTATTTCATTATCATAAGGATGTTCAATTTTTCCTATTATATGATAATCGTCTACTCTTGCACTTACACACACATTGAATGAGTTACCCTCTCACAATAAAATAACCAAAACTGAGTGAATGTTTTTCATAAGTGAGATCTTTTTCTACTTAGACAGAATTTCCTTAAAAATGTTATATTTTCATTAAATGTTTGAACTGAATTACAAACCCTATAATGCTCGTTTGCATAGAATGTATAATCTATATAAACTCTTTCAAGAAAAAATCGTGATAAATTTGTTTACTGCTAGCAATTTTTGAAGCAAAACATCGGTCACAAATATAGAGTAAAGAATATTGTTTCCTACATAAATAAGAAGAGAGTAAAGATAACTGTGACTCATTCCATATTTACCGAAGAATGTTATTTTGTAAATTTTCTGTAAACATTCAGTATTTTTAACGGTTTCCGTTTTATCTGTATTTTCATACAATCGATTGGTTTGCATAATTACGGTGACTTTTTTTGCATATGGCATATGTTAAGGATCTTGTGTCAGTTTTATATTTCGTTAGATCGTTATTATATAAATAGAGATAATTAGCTTTGAAATAACAATTATTCTTTGTCTAAACGCTTTACATTTCAGGAAATTGTCCTATGTTTAGACAATATTCAACTGGATGCTTATAGTTTTGTTTAAGCTGAAGGACGTA